AGGAGGGGAGGGGGATTTGTGAGAGCGGCTTCGTGGTGTTTTGCTAGCCGGAGTTAAACCACGACAGGGACACATCGGACTTGCCCATCTTCTCTCATTACTCACCAGGTACATCCAGATCCTTAAGCGAAAGCAGTCCCACGGATGGCTTGCCTTTGCCCGAGGTGGAAATAACCCAGGTTGTTTTTCCAAGGGTATTTTTAACATGCACTGCAGGGACTTTATCTCCTTCCACAGTGTGTAGAAGTTTTGATGGAGCTGGGCCCAGTATGTTTGGCAGATCCTCTGGTGTTGACTAACCAGGTGGCCTTTGCCAAATGTGTATCCCAAGTTTTGAAAGTTCTACCCCCATTGGTCTCAGGGTGGTGCTTAGCAGTCCATTGCACTGTTTGACCTTCCCTGAGGCAGATGCATGATAGGGGATGTGGTACACCCACTCAATGCTGTGTTGTTTGGCCCAGGTGTCTATAAGGTTGTTTCAGAAGTGAGTCCCATTGTTTGACACAATTCTTTCCAGGGTCTAATGTTACCATAAGACTTTCTTTTTCAGGCCCAGGATAGTGTTCCAGCTGGTGGCATGAGGCATGGAATATGTTTCTAGCAATCTGGTGGTTGTTTCCACCATTGTAAGCACATGGCACTTGGCAGGTTTTGTGGGTGTGTGATAAAACCGAACTGCCAGACTTTCCCATATTTATATTTCAGCCATTGTCCTCCATACCAAAGAGGCTTTAACTACTTGGCCTGTTTGATTGCAGAGCAGCAATATCTTGCCTTAATGCGGCAGCCCAGATGGGTTTGCCTCTGTGCTGCCAGTTGCTCTGCTTCTATCGCTGTAGCCACCCCCACAGGGCATTTGCCACCATCCAAGAGTCAGTGTACTGGCTATTTCTCTCATTTAGAAATATCCAAAGCCAGCTGGATAACCTTTACCTCTGCAAACCATCTCTGCAATTTGTCATTTGGGACTCCACACAGCAGCTTTCCACCTTCGATTTTTCCCTATGATGCAGCAGGACCCATCAGTAAACAGGGCATATTGCTTCTCATTTTCTGGCAACTGGTTGTATAAAGGTGTTTCTTCAGCCCATGTCATCACCTCCTCTCGTGACATTCCAAAGTCTTTGCTTTCTGGCCAGTCCATGATCACTTCCAAGATTCCTGGGTGACTGGGTTTTTCTGTTTGAGATCATTGTGTTATCAGGGTGACCCATTTACTCCAGGTAGCATCAGTGGCATGATGAGTAGCAGATAGTCTGCCTTTGAACATCCAGCCCAGCACTGGCAGTGAATGTGGCCTTGGATCCTCTTCATCACAGTCTCCAAAATCCTAGGGGTCAACCTCGCGTCTCCCCTGGATTTTTCTGCCAGAGACTCCAGGTAGGGCTATTCTCCCTGGCTGCGGTGTAGAGCACATTGTTTACCTCTGGCCCTGTCCGGACTGGTCCAAGGGCTACTGCATGCACGACCTCCTGCTTGATCTGTTCAAAGGCTTCTCACTGCTCAGGGTTCCACTTGAAATAATTTTTCTTCCAGGTCGCTGCATAGAAAGGGCTTACAATTTGGTTGTAATTTGGAATATGCATCCGCCAGAAACCCATGACACCTAGGAAAGCTTGTGTTTCCTTTTTGCTTGTTGGTGGGGATGTAGCTGTTATTTTGTTTTTCATGTCCATTGGGATCTGGTGACGTCCATCTTGCTGAGAAGAGAGAGTCAGACCCAGAGAGCCCAAGAGCTGCAGTCCAAGAGCTATAGCAGCCCGAGTGTTGCAGCCCAAGGGCTGGAGCCCAGGAGTGATTGCAGCAGATTCTGATTGTACCCTATCAATGATAGCACGACCAGGAAAACTAAACAATCCCACCACCATCCCATAAACGAGCCAGCACAGGAGTTACCAAAGCAGCTAATGCGGGAAGCAGGGACAGTGTTAGCAAGTGTACTGGAGTAAACAAGCAAGAGAGCAAGGGAGAGAGTAATGGCTCCCAGACTCCCTCCTCACCTCTGCCCCGAGCATGATGTACTATGGAATGAAATATTCCCTTGATCTGTTTGGATCAGCTGCCTGAACTCTGTCACCCCTACACTGCCTGTAGAGAGACAGCGAGAGCTGGGAATGCAGCTGCAGTATCATAAGCGAAGAAAGACCTTGAATTCAGTGCAAGCATTGCCCAGCACCAGCTGTGACCTTATCAGGGCTTCTCTCTGCATCCAGGAACACAGCTTGCTAGCAGCCACGGTAAAGAGAGTTAACTCTTTCCTGACTGAACCCAGCACAACTTGTCAGTGAAGACCTCTTCTATCTTCCTCTCATTTCCACAGGACATGTTTCTTCGGGGACTCTTTCTAATACAGGACTTTCTTCTCTTTGTCCTGCTCCTTCAGGAGAGGCAGATACTCCTTCTGTCCAAAGACAGACAAATTGTCTGTACATGTCAGAAGGTGAAGAGTATAGAAAACCCTGAAGACCATGTTTTATTTTCACAGAGACTCATACAGGTCTCCCTACAGTAAGCATGCAGAGAATATTGAAACGAAGAAGTGGGATGAGATAAACTCTTCAATAGATGTTTAAACTGTATCAGAATGACCAGTGAATCTCACCCACGACATACCTGTCATTATGAAGTAATGTTTAAATATAAATGTATCAACAGCAGTAAAAGATCTCCATTCACTGTTGATAGTTTCTGCACCTCTTACATTCTGAAAGTTTTATGACCATCAATTTTTAAGTTAAAAATTTCCTGTCTAAAAAGTTAATAGAAGTAGACTCTGTGTATCCTTTCTTTTAAATGATATCAACCCATTATCACTTAAGCGATGATTGTCTTTCACTTAAATATTTATTTCTAATACTGCTACTTTTAAAAATCAGTGGTAGATTGTGACTGCCTCTTGTTTCACAAATAGCTTGCTGAAGAAATACAAAACCCCACAACTGTGTTTGATCTTCACTCTGTATGAGGAAATTCAAGATAAGAACACTATTTCCAGATTTATTTCTCCCTTTTTATGATATAGAAATACCTATCCATATTGAAATCCAATCTCTGGTAAGTGTAGCAGACTTTCCTGATGCTGTACTAATACTTCAGTAGAAACTATTATTCTTGAAAGTGATTTTCACTTAAACTTGTTCTTTTTATATATGACATTACTTCTTTACATTATACAGTTTCTATAATGAAAAAAACCGAACACATTCCATCACTTTTATCTGTCTTAATATATGTTCAATTATCTTTCAGTTGTCCATAAAATACAGGAGTCTACAGCCTTAGCTGTTCTTTCCTCCATAGTCTTTTAATGGTGCTTTCTTGCCATTTACCTAATCTGTGAATTGGCTATTATTTTGTGCTATGTATGAAACAAAATAGCTTCAGAGAAAGAGAGGGAGGATATTTCTTCATGCCGCTACCTCAGTACATTGGTTTAACTGCTTGTCAACACTTGGAGTGAACCGCAGTCTCCTGATTCAAAGTAAAAATTTGAGTTTCTCACACCCTTAAGCCTAACCAAATAAGTAACATGTTTTTTTAATTATTAAAAATAATATATAATTTATAAAAAATGTTGCAGGAATCTCTTTTATTTTTTTTTTTCTAAGAACTCATCAAAATAACTTGAAAGAATGTCATATTAGACTATTAAAAAAAAAGTTTAATTCTTATTGCAAGATGAAGAGTGAATCCATGCAATTGTTATTATGTCTCTTGCATTTAAAAAATGTAAATGTAAAATTATTGCTCTTTGATATACTTTTAAATGTGAACATGAACTGTGTACATGTACTCCAAAAGTAATGAATGTTAAAATAAATAAATAAAACATGCTAATCACTTTTCATAATCACAGGTCTCTATTGTCTTTATTACTTTGGCATAAATGATAATCACAGAAGAGAGCAACACAGAGATTTACATTTTAAACTTCAGGTCACTTTTTAGTTATGTAAGTCTCATTCCTCCTCTTCTATCTTCTTATGAAACTCCCGGCTTTTCACTCGGAGCTTGTTGACCTGTGACTCTGCAATGTCAGCCCGCTCTTCAGCTTCCTCCAGCTCATGCTGGATCTTGCGGAATTTGGAGAGGTTCACATTGGACAATTCCTCCTGTTTGGGGAGTGGGAGTTGTGAAAACAACAGGCAGCATATGAAGATTTCATGTCAGAAAACTGGGCAAAAGAAAGTTTAAATGCCACAGTTGGACAGGTTTAAAACTAGGGTAAGAAGCTGCACAGGCCATCAAGTGTGCCAGAAGAGAAAAGAACATTGTAATATCAAAAAGCCATGACCATATTACACACTGCATGGTCTAGGCAGATTTCACGGCAGAACTGTTCTGAGTAGAAAGACTAGCAGCTGCTTCTGAGACCCAGGGTAGGGCATGAAGGAAGAAATAGAGGTGGGAAGCAAGGCTTTGAGCAAAATAAATAGAGCTGGGAAAGTGTAGTTACTCCCAAAGCCTTACTCTTACATTCCCCATTGCCATGTAGCAGCAAAAGCACCAACAGTCAAGGTATTTAAAAGCTGGATAGAACTAACACAGAATTCCACCTCCACCAGAAGGAAGTCTGGCCTTGATCAAAATGGTACTTACAGCTTCCTCAGCTTGCCTCTTGTAGGACTTCACTTTCATTTGCAGCTTGTCCACCAGATCCTGCAGCCTAAGAATGTTCTTCCTGTCTTCTTCAGACTATGGAGAATAGAAAGAAATAGAAACCCTTGTTTGCCTCTTTCTCTAAATTTCATAAATGTGAAACAGAGGGAGTAACATTCCTATGCAGCATTGCTGTCCAGAAGAATAGAAGTCACAATCCTGTTAACTGTCAGTGAGGTATAGAAAGAAATTCCTCCAGAAGTCAATGTGCCAACATTTTGACTTCCTGTAATAAGAGTGTGTCAACACAAAAAAGCTTCCTGCATTACCTGGTAGGTCAGC